AGTGTTAAGACAGATAGTTACGGGTAGGCAAAAGTGTCAGCCGCTGAAAAGAATTTCATCCGCTAACCCTTACTCTCAAGCTTCGGACACATAAAAATCCCACAGAAAATCAAAAGAATTACTACTATCAAGAAATAACAAATACCTACATCTCTCATTAACAAAAACTCGCCTCTCTCTCTCTCTCTCTCTCTCTCTCTCTCCATATATATATATATATATATATATATATATTTACTTGTCAATATACCTCATAACACCCTCGAGCGTTTAACCTTGGAGCGGGTAGAATGGAGATCAACGTGTTTTGATGAACTCAGCATTTTTCAATCTGCTTGTCTGAATCGTCTTCAAGAAGCGAGAGCACGATCTAAAAGATCAGCCAATCTAACAGTGATCTCATTCCACAATCCTCATATGTGGCTTCCTTTGTAAATCACTAGCGGGTCTTAAGTGCCACTTAAGATTATCGCACAAAATTTTATAACTGAATCAATTGGTTAAGTTGTCAAATCCTCATACGTCGAAAACCGACGGGAGTCCATTATATATATATATATATATATATATATATATATATATATATATATATATACTGAATGACTTTCAACACGAGAACTTTCTGATAGGAACTTATGAACTCTTTGAATATTATTGTATATGTTATTTTGAGAGATATAAATTTTTATCAGTACACGCAATATATATATATATATTTGTATTAATTATCTTTGCATGCATTTTTAAAGGTCATAAATTAGTGTATATTTGGATTAAGGACGTTATCCGAAGACAGACACCTGTAAACAAGTAAACCCCTATTTTGGTGACTTCCATGTCTAAACATCAGTTTCTAGACACCCACAAACTGCTTTGTAATATCTAAAGTCATCTATGACAGTAAATACTGGACAATCTCTTCACAGATGAAGAAGAGATGTAAGGCAACTGAGATGTATTTCTACCGATGAATGCTGTGAATATCATGAACAGAACATGTGAGCAAAGATGAATATTGGTGGAAAATTCGAACAACGAAACTAAGGATCGGTTTCACTTTATTCTCAGGATACATTTCTATTCTTTGCCATTAACTGACATGCTAATTTCCTTATGTTCTTCTGAATGCCATTGAAAACCGGTTTGTTTAATCTATAAAGAGAATTTTATTTTTGTCGATGTTTGTGTATAAAGCTCACGGAAGATTAATAAATCACGGTGTCATTTTTCAGAAATTTTTACATGCAAACTCAACGAACTATTTAATTTTAAGGACACTGATAGCTTCCTTTTTTGGCTTTTTATTTAATTGCTGGTCGTTTTAGATAGCAGTCCTGCACTCATTTCGTTGTTTCTAATGCCATTTATAACGTCTTCATTTTCTGAAATGCATCTTTTGCTGTTATTATACGTCTTTGAAATGCTGTGCTATATTTTCTGTTGCTATACTTCGGTAACTTCCTATTCCTTGCAGCTGCAAACAATATTTTTCTCCTTACTATCCCGCCCAGTCCCTGTTCTACAATCCATTTGCACAAGTATATTAGGTAGGTTACTCGAAGTTTCTTCTTATCTTCAGGATGCCCCGTGACTGTCAAATTTTACAACCTCTTTTCCACCTTTTGGGTTTCAAAAATTTCAGCTGTCTCTTTCTGATTCTAAGTTCACGTGTCATTTTTCGTTTCCATTTTCAGCATTCTTCTGTAGAATGACATCTCTGTTGACACAAGTCTCCTCTTCATCTGTGAGGAAATTGTCCATTGGCCAAACTTTCCACTCATGTGGGTTCAGCGCTCCGCTTAGTGGGTTGAGCACTTTGGAAGAAAAGGAATTAGTCGGCTTCTGCTGTTATAATGTTAAGCTCATCGCAATGAATAGGGCTTGATAATTCTTATATTACGTATATAATGTGTTTAAAAATTTCCCTTTCTCTGTAGCATGTGCCGATAGCCTAGAGGTAAAAGTCTTTGACTGATGACAAAACAATCGCGTGTCTAGCCACACTGAAGAGCTGTGACAGTGAAACAGTTATTCTATTGATGACTATATATATATATATATATATATATATATATATATATATATAATAGTTGGTCGCTCGTATCCGAGTATGACTGTCTAATAGGGCGGCTAGACAATCTCTGTTGCAGACGCTTTCTCAGACACATTTTGTGTTTGGATCAACACCCACAGAGCCCACTTCTGGTTTATAATCCAACTATGCAGAGTGGACCTTAGTTACAGTTTCTGGGAGAAAGCGAATTGTTATGGCGTGGTCAACAGTCTGAACAAGGCCAGTATGCTGAAACCCTCGGTCACGCTGACTTGTGACTTTGTGCTATCAAAACCAAGGCCGGTTCCCAAATAGTTTCCTCTAGCCATATTTCACTCGCAAGGATTGGGTCAACTCGTGGTAGAGTTTTCAGACACTTTTCGAAAGTGCCGCACACTGAGATCACCTCTACCGCAGATCGATGATATCTAGAAGTCACTTTCCTGACAAATCGACCATGATGAGATTCGAACCCGTGTCCCATGGTCGGAAGCTAAAAAATGGTCGTTTATTATTTTTTTTTTCTGTTAGGGGCTTTCTTTAAATCAAGCAAATATTTTGATGTACAAACTGTTGATTCCAGCAAATAAAAATAGTAGGGTATACAATAAATTAGTTCATTTGTTAATATTGTAGCACCTATCCTGACCCCACTGGATCGATGTTCTCTACAAGATCGGCCGTTAGTCCAGTACTGGTCCCGTATTACAGGTTAAGTCAAAGTCTCCGGTTCACAATGTCGATTTGATTCCACTTTTCAGCCACGTTGTGATTTTTTTTATCCTGGAGAGCAATTAACAAATCGTAGATCGCGGAAGATTCAGCTGGTCTACCTGTAAGTTTATTGGGGCGAAAATCGTGCCAAGCAGAAAAATCAAATATGAACAAGTCGATTCAAGCCCAAAGAAAAATTTATGTATATGTATATAAGGAAGAAATTGGTACAAAAAAGAATAATACTTCTTTTACAAGAAATTAGTGTATAGGAAATAAAGTTCAGAAAAAAAAAACAAATATTGCAAATAATTCTGAAAGAAGAGAAGTAGTTTTCGGGTTTATCATTTTTGTTCTTAGTAGTTGCCGTAATTATTTCACTATCAGGATATAAGAGGGTTCACTGGCAGTATTGCGCCAATATTGCAGATAACTTGAGTTCAATTCCTCTCTTATTACAGCAGCAAGCGGGCGCTTTCACTCTCATTGCCTCTCTCTCTCTCTCTCTCTCTCTCTCTCTCTCTCTCTCTCTGTCTCTCTCTCTCTCTCTCTGGTCGACTGCTTCACCCATCTCCAATTGACTTCGACTCGACTGTTTGTTTTCGCACAAATACGTGCTTAAATAAACGCAGTAGTAGCCCCAAAAATCCCTATGTGTTGGTAAACTTAGAATACAACTTAATAACTGAACTCTCTGCCTCCATGATTAAATGAAGAATCTCTTCTTCTCAATTCGTATTCCATAAACACTATTGCTTTGACATTTTATATTAATAATTCTTGCGAAGCACAGATTTTCTGGGCATAAATTCACCACAGATTTTTTTTCTCATCTATAATCAAAATTATATATTGTTATAATTATTAATATTTCAAGGGTGACCATTGCTCTCTGCCACAATAGCTTCATTTTATAAAGATGTTCAAGGAGACGTATACTTCACAAGGTCATTCACGTGTCATTCCTGTCTCTCGAAACTTCGGTTATAAAAACAGTTACGACTAACTCCATAAATAATTTTGGTTTAAAAAAGACGAACAAGTATGAAAATAAAATTAGAAAACATAATACGCATAAATGGATTTTAGGAGACGGACGTCGTTATATACAAGGAGCTAAAAAGATTTCTCGGTCCGACCGAATTTTCAGAATCATATCAAATAACCAAACATCAGAATTTATTATTCAATTCCTTCTTGGACGGACTGAGAACTGTCTATTTCTATCTAACTTGTAAGCCATCCATTTTTAATAGCCAGTTCATTGTAGGTAAAAACTGCATTTGCATTCACGCATATGTAACTAGTTATTTCGATAGATATACGTGTATATATATATATATATATATATATATATATATATATATATATATATATATATCAATCAACGTATATATACAAAACTCGAATTTTATTTTAATTTAGCGTTAATGGGTAAACTTACACGCAAACTTAGATCAAAAGAAATGCCTGTATGTCATTGTTATATCTTTAAACCAGAGAATAAATTAATCTCAAAATTATGTATATTTTTAAATAGTTTTGCCTGAGGGGAAATACATTTGTCTGTGTAGGTGTGTTCGTTTTACCAAACGAAAACTTTCGTGTACAGGCCTTATTTAGTACATATACTTAATGAATCCAGGGAAAGATTTTAACGTACAAAAATTACTATATCATAGAGGAAGGAGCTCAACCTTCTCGTCTGCAGAATACATAACTTGTAGTAACAGTTACCGTTTGTAATCGTTCGGTGTAAAACTATATTTTTTTATTTTATTACTATTGAAAAAAATATGCATGTGCTTTGAAAAAGAAATTTTACAGAATACGTTTCTTTCAAAAATATTTTTTCTTCATTCATAGTATTTCTTCAGCTGAATCTTACCCGGAACAAATGAAATCTCTTTGTTTTATTTTACGCTACTAATTGCTATTGTACATGACCGGTTGTTGTTTTTATTGAGTCATTCGTTTTCTACGTTTTCAAACGTTTAGAGGCTTTTATAAAAGTAGAAAATATTTCTAAATTTTAAGATTTTTTCAGATAATAATGATATAGTGATACAAGTCTTACTAATTAACCCATAATTGGAGGGAGAAGAGGTGGATTCATACCTTTTCCAAGGGTATTTACGCGTAATGGAATATAACGAACCCAACTGGAATTGGAACTCGGCTCTCCGATTAACAATTCGAAGCCATGATCCATTACATCACTGGCACATGCAAGCTTACAGCACATGGCATTCCTAAGCGGTCACCCATCTAGGTACTGACCAGACTCGATGTTGCTTACCTCCAGTGATCTCACGGGAACCGGTACATGACCAGTGTCGTTGAAAATGAACATTAGCGAAGAAAGTTCAATGACAACTGTTTATTGATAGGGAATATTAATAAAATAAACATTTTTAGTTATAAATTTCAGTAGATTCGCGTTGGTATAAGAAGTTATTTTTATAAAGTTTAATCTACCTAGTTTTAAGTATAGCAAAAATAACTAATGTGATTTCAGGCATTACTGTAAATCAGTTGGCAAATGTTTTCCGTGAACTGCAAAATCGTATTACCCTTTGTATTGCTAAAGATGGCGGACATGTGGAAACTTAAATAAAATTTCAATAAAACCTTAAAAAATATAGATTTACTTCTTTCTAATCCTTTTTACAAATTATTTCTATCGCAAATACAAATAAAGTTATACATTTTTTAAAGTGCACACGAACTTTATGGACACCCTGTATATAACCAGTAATTTGGTAACTGGTTATAACATTTGCTTTCCGACCATGAGACGCGAATTCACGTCTGAACAAGATCGATTACTTGTCAGAAAGGTAACTTCTTGATGTTATTGGCGATCCCAGCTTACGATACCTTTGGAAAATGTCTGAAAACCAAGTCTTGTGACTGAAGTCGGGTTGGAAGCATAGTTGCAGTAAAAACCATAGGCGTGCTCTGTGGGTGTTACACAAACACATTAATGCCTAATCAGGAGTCTGAAATAGGAGGGGGCAGCCACCCTAGTACAAACTACCCGCAAACGAGCGGCCTGCCATTATATTCAGATACAATCCATGTCCTGAATTCTTACCTAGTCCGGCTTACGGCCACTTACGTTGAAACACCGGTTTCTGTACTTCAGCTAGTTCTTTATTAAAGACTCGAGTTCGTGAAAAAGAATTTGCACTACGTTACGAATATTATTGATGCAAATTCAAAAATAATGTCAAAGAAATAACGTTTAATGCTGCAAATCGACGACAGACAAACGGAAACGATTGAAAATTTGTGTTGCCAATGGAGAATAATTATAAGTTGTGAATATGGATGTCCTTTAGGAACACATATACAGAAAGACCGTAAGAGTTAGAAAGAAAGAAAGAAAGAAAGAAAGAAAGAAAGAAAGAAAGAAAGATCAACTGGAAGACGAATGGTGAACCGTACTACAAAGAAAGAAAGAAAGAAAGAAAGAAAGAAAGAGTCAACTGGAAGACGAATGGTGAACCATGTTACAAACAAGGGACTAATATCATCTGGATATATATTTCGACTGACAGATTGTGATGGCCTTTATTTACATGGCGCCAGGCCCTTATTGTTCTGAAATAACCGACATAGATTTTTCATTATCTGGGCAGTTATTGTTGAAAATCAAGATTGACTAACAACGTCTGACCCAAATTAAACATTTCATAAATGTTCCGTTGTTTCGGGTTTGGTTAACGACAGAAGAAAATTAAATGTAGGTTTTACATTTCTTACCCTAATTTCATATGTATTTATTATTTATTACTGAGCCAGATCAGCCCGAAAATGGAGTACTGCTGCCTTATATGAGCAGGGGCTGCACAGTTTTTTATTTTCCAATCTCAATGTAGTCCTAAAGCATCTCCGCGTTCTTGGGGGTGATGAATTATCTTCCACGCTACAGCCCCTTTCTACAGACGAAACGTTTCAAACCTCTCGCTATTTCCATGGAAAATGTTTAGACAAACTACATTCCTTAGTTCCACCAGTTCTAACCTTCATGACTAAGACTAGACATGCCACGCCCATTGTAGCGAACTACCCTCATTCCATTCACTCAAACATCTTCTCCCCACGAATCGCTATTTTTGGGAACCTACTCCCAAGTAGATGCTTCCCAGATTACTATATGGGAGGGTGTTTTTTTTTTCAACGTAGGGGTTCACCAGTATGGTATATAGAGATGAAGGTTGGTTTAATACATAAGTAAAAGCCAAATTTACTGTCTATAGTACTATTTTATTGTTGACTCCATTTGGTTACAGTTGTTAAAGTGGGTGACTATCATCTTAGTCCTTTTTATAATTTGAGAGTTCATACAGGGTCGTTGTGTTTTGGTATATAGAAATGAATTTGTTGAATTAATCCTTTTTTTCTTCTTTTTCTACTGGAGTTGTACGTCTGGTCAAACTCAACATCCTATGAGTCTCCAACACTTGCGTCTCGAACTGCTACATCGAACCAATTTCCCATTTCTTCTCTTCTCTTGCGTAGTTTTTTTCTTCTTTTTATTGAGCCTGACACATCCGTGTTTTCTGTTTGATTTTTGGAGGGACGTGTTTCCATTGGTTCATTTTTTTTATGACGTTCACTGACCCACATAACCTATGTCCGGGTTCTGTCAGTTACCAAGGAAGAACAATAGAAGGAAAGAAAGGAAGGATGTACAATAGAGAGGAGAGAGAGAGAGAGAGTTTTCTTTGTTACTCTCTAAGTAAAAAGGAAAGTGTATGTGGTGTTATTACTACCTAATCCTACTACAACTACAATCTTAATCTTTTCAAGTCTTCACCGTTATCTACCTTTCATATCCTTATAAACAGTGCCCCTTACCTCATACTCTGTAACGCTCTACCTCAAGTGGCTATTGGGTCTTGTTCATTTTAGAGAATTTTTTTAACAAATTTTTGGTAACCAGCATCCTCCATAATTAAGACTGAAAGTTATATAACTTGAACCTGTAAAGATTATCCCCACTTTTTAGGACTGTTCGAGAACTATAAAAGAATGGACATAACCCTTTCTTCTATTCTTTGCCTTCGAAATATAGCAGCGTTAACATTTGTCTTGTATCCGCCCGCACGTAAAGCACGTAAAATTCCTCCGCGTATTGAAATGTATTCCTTCTGAAAATGTTGAATGGATTTTTTCGAAAGTTCTTAACCCTCACCGTGTCATTTACAGACTGCAAATCAGATACTGTAACAAACTTCACTAACAAGTGTCAGTATCTGTTTGTTGGTGTGTATGAAAAATTTGGTGTGAGTACATTTTTAACCCATTGACTGGGAAGCGCTTTAACAGAGGATGAAAAATGCGACATCGAGTTTCGAACAAGCATTCCACTAGTTTGGTTTGGTTTGGTTTATTTAACTGCATTTCAACTCCTTACGGGTCACTCAATACCGAAATTTAATTTTGGAGGGTGCTTTGGTAATTTTTTTCAAAAATGTATTGCTGATAATTTTTCTCTACCTTTTTCAATAATGTATTGTTGATAATTTTTCTCTACCTTTTTCAATAATGTATTGTTGATAATTTTTCTCTACCTTTTTCAATAATGCATTGTTGATAATTTTTCTCTACCTTTTTCAATAATGTATTGTTGATAATTTTTCTCTACCTTTTTCAATAATGTATTGTTGATAATTTTTCTCTACCTTTTTCAATAATGCATTGTTGATAATTTTTCTCTACCTTGTTCAATAATGTATTGCTGATAATTTTTGTCTGCCTTTTACAATAATGCATTGTTGATATTTTTTCTCTACCTTTTTCAATAATGTATTGCTGATAATTTTTTCTAACTTTTACAACAATGCATTGTTGATAATTTTTCTCTACCTTTTTCAATAATGTATTGCTGTTAATTTTTCTCTGTCTTTTACAATAATGCTTTTTTGATAATTTTTCTCTACCAGAGTAGACCTGAGAACAACAGCAGTTAAGAGGTGGTCCCAGGCTTCTCAAAACCTTCCCAATCAGAGGCCTTGCTGCCGGGTGTAGTTTATGGTCATATCCAGGACGAATTCTACTAGCGAAAGAATCATTCCAAAAGCTCAGCAAGGAAAGTTTTCGTTAGAAACAACGAAAAGTGCTGGATTGCTATGTGTTATACATCCACTTATATGGCAGTGAATGTTAGACAATTTCATCAGAGACGAGGAAAAAACAACAAATGTGCTTTTAAAGAAGAATACTAAAAATTCCATGAACGCTTCGAGGAAGTCTTAAAGAAAATGGTAACAGAAAGAGCATTTATACTCAGAATCACCTGAATTCCTTGAACACATAAAGGAAAGAGGGCATGGAAAACTTAACCCTCACGAGGACATATTGCAGGCAAGAGAGATAGGGAAGGCAGCTAGTCATTTACCCACGAGTTTGTGCGAATGGATGGCGGAACGAGGGTGGGATATTAGCAAAGGGAGAAAATCTACTTAGAGCCATACGGGATAGAAAGTTGTGGAGAGGCATGATCGTCCATGTCCTGAAGGGACGCGGCACATAGAAAAAGAAGACTGTAGAGCAAATTCCTGTCATTCGCAGTTGAGCCATAAAACTGCAATGACGAAAACGTGCGTGTGTCTGTGTGAGAGAAAGAGAGAAAATGAGAAAGAGAGAGAAAAAGAAAAAAGATAGAGAAAGAGAGAGCGAAAGAGAAAGAGGCAGAGAGAGAGAGAGTGTGTGTGTGTGTGCGCGTGCGACATAAATGGTTGAAAGAAAAAGAAATGAGAAAAAGTATGGAAAGAAGCAGGAGAGAGAGTAATAAAGGGTAGAAAGAGAAAAGAAAAATATGAGACATTTTTTTAATAAACAACCTGTTTTACGGACTTAAATTTGATTAAATCTCAAGCAACTCCACTGTTGACGTCATTGGGACTTAAGCAACTCCAAAAGGAAAAAAAATAAAAAAAGAGAAAAAAAATAACAAAAAGAGTTGTTTACCCTATTTACATTGTTCGGACTCTTCCTATCTTTATTGCTAAATTCACGACGTTTCGGTCGTTGTACGCTTCGGCCTTCTTCAGGTGATATTAGTTTTAATTTCGAACTGAACCCGGAGTAGTCAATCTCCACGTTGGCGTTTAGAAATTCAAACAAATATCACCAGAAGAAGGCCGGAGCGTACAACGGCCGAAACGTCGTGAATTTAGCAATAAAGATGAGAACAGTCCGAACAATGTAAATAGAGTAAACAACTCTTTTCGTTATTTTTTCGTGAATAGGACAATAATGATGAGGACAACAGTCCGAACAATGTAAATAATTACAATCCCTCATCTCATAAATAGGGTC